ATGAAAATGCATTGTTTATAAACTAAAATAAAAATGTTTCACTACATATTTTCATTAAACATATATACGTTTTTATCGCTCCACCAATTGCGTTGAGCAGCTCACACCGATCAAGCCGTCCTTCAGCTTACATTATCTGCAAACCTTTTAAACTATCACTTTAGCCGTCCTTTAGCTCATTTCCCCACTCCTTTGCTATCATATAAATAGCATTTTGGTTTAATTTTGGTCCGAGCAAAGGATTCATTTGTGCCATGTAACAACATAGCCAGAAAAGCCAGCAAGTCGCTGCAGTTAGCATCATAATACAACGGAAGAGGCTTTGATGAGGGCCCTTCGGAGTCATCATAGGAACACCAATGCCAACACATGCCCATAAGGCAGTGAAGAACAATACCGGAAAGAATGCTGCGCCCATTGCTTCGATATATTATTTTTTCACGATTTAATTGAATCACAAAGGAAAGCTATGAATAAAAATCAATACACAATACATGACATTTCGTACTGTCATTTCACCAATGCTGCCAAATTTCAAGAGTGGTTACGTTCAGTGTCGAACTATAGATGACGCTGTAACCCCATTAACCAAAAATACAAGAACGCGACTTGTATTTGTAACTGGTTTAGAGAAAAAAGTTAACACTTTGGGGCATTTGTATGCTGTTAAAACAACAACAACAAGACCGTACAATGAAAACGTTGTCGCAAACAAAATGGCTCAATTTGATTGGTCAAAAATCAGCTGGTTTGAATTGGTTTCATACATTTTTGTTGTTGTTTTGCCGATATGTGTGCGGAAAAAGCTGAGAGTAGAGCAATTTTTATCAATTTATTAACGCCGTAAAGCATGCGATGCCAATGTAGAGTCTTCTATTCAAAATCACATAGTCAACTTAGATGTCAGTCAAAAGCATCTCTGTGACGCAGAAAAGAATTTCTAGCTGGCGGGGCAATCGTACCGAAAACTAGCTTAATGCAACTCTGCTCAAAGGCGTGGTTTGGAACAAAACTGTCAATTGCATTTGTCATTCTTTGATCAGAAGTTGGTTAATCGTGAAAACACGTTTTCTCACTGCAAAGCAAATTCACAACTGTCAACTCATTGTTCTTCGCCATATTCTTTGTCTACCCGTTGCCACAAATGTCAATTCAAATGTCAAATTGTCAAATGTTGGGATAGCACCTGGTTTTAGAAACATCCGACTAACGTCGGACAACTCAAAATGTCCACACACACAAAGGAGTTGTGCGGCGGATTATCCTTTATGCGCAGATTCTCCCTCCATTTGGCCACCTCACTTGCGTCCTTGGGGAACGAAAAAAGCCGCCTCTCGCTATTTTCGTTAATGCAGTTTTTTACACGGCATTTTCGCTCACGGCTCATTTTTATAAAGCTATATAATTCACGTAATTACGTAATATAATCACACTTTTGTTTACAAAAATCTCGAACGTGTTCTCAAGAACGATTCACGATTCAGACGAATCACCAAAGAACGATTTAAACGATTTAAAGAACGATTGTAATGAAAATATGTGCAAAAGGTGCTTGCTTGCTTTTTCGTTTAATTAATTAATTGGAAATGGGAATTACAGTTACAAGGAATGGGATATTAGTTGTGTTTTTTTTTACAAATTATCCAGTAACTTGCCAGCAACTCTCCAGTAACTTTATTTCTAAGAATTCGCTCTCAAAGAAAAAATTTACAAAAAAGTACGTGAACGCTTTTCCAGTAATAATTTGCAAGTTTCATGAACAGCTGATAAATTGGTTGTTTATTCGCAGCATATTCCTAATAACACAATATATTTTATATTTAAATATGTTTATTTTGTGAATTTCCACAATAAAAAGCCACAAACAGTTTCCTTATTAGTTTAAATTTCATCCAGCAACATGCGATCAGCTGTTTTTCGTACTGGCAAATTCTTACAAGTAAAAATTTATCCAGTAAAATCCAGTAAAAACTTACAACTTTCGCTCTCTCAATTTCCCCTACTTTGCAAGTTTTTGCGTACAAACGAAAACGCCAAAACATGAAAATTCGTAAAAACTTTTACTGGATTTTACTGGAAATTAGTAAAAAAAAACGCAACTATTATATGGGACCTGGGACCGGACCAAATATCGGTTGGGACCAAATGCAACAGGGTGAAACCAGTGTTTATCACCCTATACTTCCGGTAGTGCATTCCAGTGACTTCCGTAGTGCATTCCAGTGGAAGTTTTGTGATCTATCCCTGTTCTGACATTCGTTCCGAAAAGGCGTTGGTTGTGTTTTCTTAATTTTTAATCCTGCAACTGGTGGTATTATCTATTATCCTTAGTGTAGTAATGGAAACATGGAAGCTTCTGATTCTCACAGTAATAGCCATATATTACATAGGACAAGGTAAATGTGGTCACCACCGGTTGCTGAAATGCCAAACTGTTTTCTATGCTAACGCCCTAATTTCAGTACACTTCGTGCGCGGATTGGAGTGCTATGTGTGTTCCAACCAAACTGGTAATACTGAGAAATGCCTGAACACAATAAAAACATGTGAACCAGGTGAGGATGCTTGCGGTACGGAGATACGTTGGGGCAGTCAGCCGTATTTCTCTCAAGGTGCGCTGAAGCAATACTATGTTTCCAAGCGGTGTTTGACGAAGCAACAGTGCCAGCAGCGTCGTAAACGCTACATGCAATATTGCACACATATTTGGTACGAGGATTGGTGGTGTTATGAATGCTGCGTCGGCGATCGCTGTAATTATTTTGTGATTGTAAGTTGATTGAATTGAAATTAATATAAAATAAAAACACTGAATGAAATATCTGTAATTTTCATCTCTTGCAGAGTGGGTCAACGCAGCCCCAAATGGCAAGCCGCACAATAATTGGAGGTTTGATTGTGTTATCGGTATTGGGCATGCTTTCATGCCTCTATTAAAGCTTGGTAAAGATTAATATAAAGCTCACCTCTCGGAGCCTTCATGTTATTAAAGCTAATAATCGTAACATGAAACTCGAATAATTAAGCACAAAAATCGTTAGATAGTTTATACAATACATTTCAGCATTATTGTGTTCGAATATTAACCGTCCAATTAATATACATAGATACCTTAGTATAATGAAGCTGTTTATTATTATTGCTTTAAAAAAACACTAGCTTTTATTGAAAATTTCATTTACCAATAATACCGTGGTTTCTGTTCTCTTATTAATAAGATGTATCATGATAAAAACAGCGTGTACGAAAATTCATAAAAAAATGGGGAAGTTGAAATGCATACCTTTATTGAATGCATTTACAAACTGAAATATGGTTGATATATGTACATATCATATTTTTTTCATCGGTAGCACAATTTTAATATGGTACAAAGTTTGTTTACTTAAGTATATAAAAACATAAGTACATTCCGAAAGTGTTTTCCGACTTAAAATCCGAGCACATTTAAACAGAACAATAAAATTGAATTTGTATTTATAATAACTTGCTTTAATTATTACTAAATGAATTGGTAACTAAAATAATTGTTCCCACGCTGTTACAACAACATAATCAATACTATATTTTTTCATTATTTAACTACATCGGTATGCTTAAGCGGATATTCCTAACCATGTACATACATATGTATGAAGTTTGTGGCTTCGTTGAGCTTACTCACTGTACTCTTACTTGGTGGTCGAAGATGCTTTCTCTATCATTTTGATTTCACGTTCATGGATGCTTCTACTTGTTTGTTTCCTTAAAACTAGCACAACAGCAAATCACATTGTTAGCAAGAAATGAAAGATAACGTCGTTAAAAATGGGATTCCCATAAGCTTGCATGCACTCAACGTTTTACCAAACAGTGCCCTAGTCGGAATTTTTATGTTTATTACTCACACGCAATTAGATGTGTTGATAGCCAATACTGCGGTTACTGGAGTTGTTAGGTTCATACATACCTATGTACATATGTACGTGCAGAAATGTGTTTATCATAGTTTAAAATTTCGCCTACCTCAGTTTATTACCTACATGTTTTGTTTATGCGAATAGGATAGCTGTGGCCAGAGAATTTCTAAGCTTAAGTTCATAGTAGCAGTTAGAGGCTTTCGACGACAATTGGCGAGTGTTCGTGAAAAAACGTTAAGTTAACTAACATACTTTTAAGAACGCGTAGACTTGAATCACAGTAATAAAAAATTGATGTGTCGAACGCGATAATTAAAAAGACCGTCAAATTGTCTACTACGAAAAAAAGAAAGAAAAACATCACCTCTACTGTATATCACTTACATACATAGTATATATATGTATGTATGTATGTAAAGACTCGTACGTAGTTCGTTGGTGTGGTGCACGACAGACGGTCATGTGCATGGACAAACTAGAGGCGCAGGCATCAAGCAGCCGTCAACAGGCAGTCGTCGATATGCAGGTAGACTACAGACGGTAAGGAATAATTTACATTTTTATACGCTATATACATATTTATGCATAGTACTAATGCAAGGATTAGCGTATGTTCTTGTAGGCATGAAAACAACGTGTAGCGCGGGCAAAGAGCGCCGCAAACCCATAACGGTGAGATGTGTACGCGCTGTGGCGAATGGATATGTAAACATCGTTTATGGGTTTCTAAATTCACGACTCCTCATGTAAAATATATGCATACTCTAGTAACTCTTGTTTATTTAGTGTTTTCTTTTGTTTGTTTTAAGTAAGTTAAATATAATAAAATTTCTAATTTTAATTATAAGTTACAGCTGTTAATATATAAATAAAATAAATAAAAATTTCTAATAAACTACTTATTTCATTCAATTGTGATCAAGATAAAAATATACATGTTCCAGTGGCGACTATGTATATTTTACGTCTTTAATTAGAAGCCGAAATTATGTGAAATTTTTAGTTTACCGTTAAATATGCTCCTATAAAAAAATCTCAAATAAGTGTTGTTATAGCAAGTGTATTCAGTTATTTGTTCAAGCTCTGAGAAAGTCCCTGGTGACAGAGTTTCTTTATTGGCCTCAGATCAGTACTGTGTCCAATGATAAAATAGCCAATTCTTTCAAATATATTTTTACCCAAAGAATTAAATAGCGAATTAACCAGAGATTTCCTATAATGCAATTTACAATTAGGCCATGTAAGTAATTGCAAAAAAATACTTACCGATTTGGCTCATGCGCATAGTCCAGAGTCATCGTGAAGGATGAACTCCTCCATAAAGGAAAAAGGTTTTGCTCTAAAAGTAGTTGGTATATATATGTATATGTATGTTTGTATGTATGTAGTAATTGCTTTTCATCTCGATACATCAGGGACAGACTTCCAACAACATTATAGGAAAAACCCGCAAATTATTCGACTCCCATTTTCAGAACTAGTACGAAGGTTGTTCCAGGGGCATACAAATTCCTCAAAGGGAAAGCCAGCTGGAGTCACAGCCCTTGGCCAGGTACAGATCTGGCCAGATACTTTTACCGACGATTACAATTTTCAGCTTAGGCCGAATTAGAATTTTCGATGACTGCAGCAACAACGATGCCGTTTTTAAATAGCTCATAAGTTTTAAGTCCTTTTAGAGTTGGATTCACAAGTAACATATTCAATTTCGGAAAAAATGTCAACTTTAAGGACAGGTTTTATTATTCTGTTGGCCTATATTTGAACAAATATGTTAGATATGTTGTTTTATTAATACTTTATTTTTTAACTGCTAAAATAAATTTACAGAGCAGAAACGTTTTCAAAAAATTGCAACTAAAATTATACAAAAATGTAACTTTTACGAAAAATTTGATTTATACTTATATTAATGGCGTTTTAATAAGTCTCGTAAGCGTTTCAAATAAGTTTTTATGTATTTAAGATATATGTGTCTTCTATATAGCTGGTTGCTTTAAGTATTTATTATTGGTCTAAATTGGATTTACTAGTGTTTTTTTTTTGTAGCACGCATTTTAAATTGACAAAGTTTTGCTCCATCTTTGTATGTCTTTATCGAGAAGTAATAGTGTGGTATATATTGCATAGTAAGGAAAACGAAAATGTATGGAAAAATAAGTTGGAAACATTTTTCAAAACTAAAGATTCTTCGATGTCCCAAAGGCACTGCATAAAGTATATACTCCCGACATTTAACCGATGCAAAAATATTCTGCTTCACAAATCCTTTTCTTTGAATATCCTAAAGGCTTCCAAGTTGTAAATTTCGTCGGAAGTACACGATGGATTTTTTGTTGACTTGCTCTACAGTCTTTGCAAGAAAATTTCATTTTCAATTACCTTAGTATATTTTTATTTCATCAGTAATATTAGGAAAAAAATCAGCGCACTCTACTTTATGTGGAACATAGTATTCGGCGCAATTAATTAAATAAAAATACATTCCATTTTCTAACTTTAAAAAAACTTATCCAAAGTAAATATAGTTATTTTTACAACTGTGTGATTTACACTGAAAGGGATTGTAATGAAAAATGTACAACTGAAAGCCAGCTTAACGCTACCATATATGTACATACTATAAGGAAAATTATTACTGTATTTAGCAAAACATACATACATCAAAAAATATTATGTGCTATTTTTTTCAATAGTTTAAATAAACTTTCTTTATATCGTAAAACAAAAAAAAACCTATAATCACAATAACATTTCGTGTAGTTTTTAGCAAAGAATAAAAAGAATAAACAAAATATGCACCCATTTTGAAAAGAAAAGAAAAACAATATTCTGGACAATCGACGAGTGTACAGACAAACATATGCACGTATAAAGCAAAAAAAAAAACGCAGCATAACTATGTATGTATTAAAAAACTTGCATATTTCTAAATTTTGTTGTATTTTAGCATATGAGATTGATTGATTGTTTGTTTTGATTGGTGTTATTTAGCAGGTGTCTGTCTGTGCAAGTTTAAGTGCAACCAGCACATATTTATGTGTAGATGTATCTGGGTGTATACTTGTGTATGTATTTAACCTAAAGCCTAATACAGCCTTACAGCTCATCCTTATGTAGTAGCGTGTAACGATTCTTCGAAGGTCCCAATTTCTTAAAGCTCGATTCCGGCGGTGAAGTGCCTTTGCCTGATACTAATTCGGTTTGCACCTCATTACCGGATGTATCGGGACCATAGTGGAACTCTCTGTTTAGCCATGTGAAGAAAAGGTGAAGAAAAATAATTTTAGAAAAAACGTCCAAGAGATATAATATTTTGAAATAAGAATTCTTATTGCTAGACTTTTTGCAACAAACCTGTGCAATTTTCCACTGTACAAATCTTGTAAAAATTGTTTCAGCTTGCCAGGCTGATACATATCTTCGAATTTGGGGAACAAATACATGTGACGGAATGAATCGATAGCAATCAATGGCAAGTCGTCGTCTGATTTACCCAAATGATGTAACGGATGTGCAAAGCGTTGACCGTCCGCAGTTAGGAAGTTGATATTCTCTGCAAAATGAATTGGTAAATTTGAATATTTCATTGTTTTTTGTTTCTCTCTTTCATACGTTTCTCATCCAACAACTGAGTTTCAATGATAGCCTTAAAGTCCTTGATCGCATCGGTATCGTCTGGTTTGTGGAAAAGTATCAAAAAATGGTAAACCTTCTTCCGTCAATTCCTCGGCGTTTTCAAATGTAATCTCACGCACTAAGGGTACACATTTTTCTTGCACCCAAATTTTCAGTTCATCAAAGTTCTGCAAACTACCCTTGTAAGTTTCATCGTTTTCATGTGACAATGCAACATCGGGTCGGAAAACAATGATTGGTTGGCCTATGGGCATACACAAATGATATTGTTTTATAAAAGTAGGTAATTTCGATAAGCAGCGTAAAAATATATCACAGTAGTTAGTTACATTTAAAAGACGTTCGCGTAAAAAAAGCTGTTAACATGTACTTAGTTTGTGCCAACTTAAATGTGCACAGAGTGCAGTAATAAAGGTTTAATGAGCTGATAATTTATTAGGTATAAATTTGTATACATATACATTAGACTGCATCACTCTCCATACAAAAAAAAAATCCGTACTGTGTTTTGAGTGGAATTATAAAATCTATATTTTAAGAAGTCCACCAAAATATTTCGGAAAAATATTAAGATTTACGTGAGCTGGACCGATTTGAAAAATGGAGTTTTTTATTAATAAAAATAGTTTCTTAAAGATATTTTTTGAGAAAAATCCCTTCAAATGACAAAACGGTTTAAGCTTAAAAAATTTTTGTGAGGGGCTTTTTAAAAAAGTTTTTTAAGAAAATATTTTTATTCATAAAAACTCCATTTTTGGAGGTATTTTCAAATCAGTCCAGCTCACGTAAATCTTAATATTTGTCCGAAACCGCAACTTTTTTGTGATGCAGTCTAATGTACATACATACATACATAGAAATGTATGAGCTAGTCATTAATTCATTAAGGAAGTTATAAAGATTCTAAATGGAATTTTAGTTTGAAGGTGAAAGGTAATACATATACATAATATGAATTAATTAAATCTTCCTCTCCTTCAAAAATTCACGTACATACATAAATTCATATAATATAGAAATGCCTTATTTTCAAAATCCTTTTAGAACAAAAAAAAAGGCTGCTACTGTTTAAATTTAGATAGTCTTCAATAAAGTAGTTTTAACAGAACTCAGAGATATATAGTCTAAGATCCGAATAGGGCGCGACCTTCACCCATCTGTTTAATGGATGAAATCTTTTTTGTATGAAATTTAACGTATTATTTCGCGAGTGGGCTAGCTGAAGAAATCCTCCTCAATTATAAATTTTTTTTATTTTGCACTCATTAGTTTAAAATAACAAATTACATACCAATCGAAAGTATTAAGCCTATAGCATGTGAAAACGTTCGGTTTTCTTTTTTTCCTGGCCTATATATCGGGTTGGCAAGTACGAACTATGATGGGTGCGGGATATCGGGCCCCGTGGGACTCGCGGTAGTGATTTCAAAATGGCCGGTATCGGGAAGGTCTTTAAAAAATTTAGCGGGCGGGCCGCGATTAAAATCTTTTCCCGACACCCCCGATAAAACCCGCAAGAAAAATCACTTTTATGAAATAACTTTTTTATTTTTTATTTACACGAAAACGAGAAGCAAGGCAAAAAATAAAATAACCGGAAAATACCAGATTTTTTTATTATTTAAAACTAATTTGAAATACATACATGTGAATTAATCCTAGTGATAGATTTCGGGCCCCACGGGACCCGCGGTACAATTCTGAAAAATGTCGGGATGGGCGTGTTCGGAACTTAAAAATTTCGTTTCGGGAATGGCGGGATCGGGATTGAAATGTTTGTCCCGCGCCCTTAACGCATTCTATAGGCTTTATGCTTTCGATTGGTATATATCGTCGCTACCATGTCAAACTATCGAATGTAAAAAATCGGTACTTTTCAGGAGAGCACAGAAACTGTTGTAAAAAATGTTGTTGTCACTAGGAAAAAGTGTGGGATTCGACACGTTGCTAAACCAGTAACCTCTGCTTTTCATTCATCATTCTAAACGCATGCGCAAGTGATCGTAAATGAAAAAGCAATTTTGCACATTCGATAGTTTGACATGGTAGCGACCATGATAAAAATATAGTAAGGTAGAACCGCTGAGAGTCACTTTTAAAATTTTTGACGTTTCCAAACAATTTAATTTTTAAATTTCCCACTGGGAAAATAGGTAAGCACCTTGCGAGGTAAGCCATGTTTTCTTTCAGTTTTTAGTACCAAAATTGTCATCATGGCCAATGTCATCTACTAGTAAAGGGCAAAATGAACACCTCCGAAGACACATTACGTTGTCAGTTGCAAAATAACGTGCAGCCGAAGTTATTTTCAAGCACCGAACTACTCCGAGCGACTGCTCTGCATTACACGTAACTTACTTTGTAAAGCGGCTCAGAAGTATGTCTGATACCAAATGTACATTCTAAATTCCTACTTACATAAGGCGGTCATGCCTTTGTAAAAGTAAGGGACGTTCGGCAGGGAAATGGTAATGACTGCCAGGTGAAGAGTAAGTTGCTAATAAGGTATTATTACGTGCTCCTAATTCCCACTGGGTTACTCACAAACTAACACACACATTTTCATTTTCAATCTCAAGCAACAACAATTTCGAACAATTTAAATTTTTTGTTTTCACTTTTATATGATTTTAAAATGTTGGCAAACTTTAAAAAAAAAAATCATGGCCGACAAATTGAGAGAACGGTTATACCTTGCTATGTTTTTATCATGGTCGCTACCATGATAAAAACATAACAAGGTAAAACCATTGAGAGGCAGTCTGACGTTTGCCAACAATATAATTTTAAAATCAAAACCATGATTCAATTATTAAAGGTTTTGTAAGTAGCTTTTTTCTAAAATTTGGCACTCCCACCCACAGGGATGGTTTTTAGAAGCAGAAGAAAAAGGGGAAGAATTCAATCACACTTCCTAAAATGGGAGCTAAATTCTATAAAAACGTGGGGATAATAGTGAATGGTGGTATTTTAAAACAAAAACGAATTTGATTTAATTATTTAATTTAAACAAGCTTATTTACATCGAATATAACCCCCTATTGTTATTAAAAATAAATATTTCTATGTTTATACCAAACTTGCGTACGTCAGATGGCGCATAACTCGAGAATGGATGGTCCACTTTCAGCTTTTTTTTTTGTTGTATTTGTTTGCCAGTTGATGGACATGAAGAAGCTATTTGTTTGCGGAAAATATGCAATATTTATTAAACAAAAAAACGGCAAATAAAAAAATTTGGAGCTTACGTTTCTTTCGCGGTTATGGCTCGATTGTTTCGAATTCTTTGATGTCGCACTTTTTATGTTCTGGGGAAAATATTCAACACTGGCTTGCACAGCCGCAGTTGGCGATTGGTGCCGGACGAACTCAGAGCACGCAGCTACTGAACGACTGAGATAGGGAACGTGATCTACATCGTCAAATGAGAAGTGGCGTAATGGGGCTTTCGCACGAGGCGATTTTTCAGGCAACTTTTGCGTTCAACTCCCGCCGGGTTGCACGAAAAAAAATTTGAATGACTAAAAATATCAAAATATAAAAAAATATTAAAATATTCGCCATAAAAAGGCGTTTGTATTGTTCAACTTTGCATTCTACTTTCAGCTAATCGCTTGCAATAAAGTTGGTCGCCAGCCAACATTCGCCTCGTGCGTACACCTTTTAAGTGTGCAATTACATCGCGCCATTGACTAAACCGAGCTGTCGTGTGACGATTGGGCCTATGGATGCGGTTTGGCAATGTTATATTGCGTCAAAATCTCATTCGGAGACACCAGGACTGTGTCGTGGAGTACAATACCTAAATACCTTCGTTGGCTCATTGAACGCTTTACTTTACAGCGACTTGGCAGAATCAAGAGGTCTCCACGAATATCGACAAATACATTTCGGCATTTAAGGGAATTTCGTCTCTTAACATTGAATTTCTGTAGTCCAACGATTCTCACCCATTTTGTCTTGTTGGCGCCAGCGAATGCAGAACAAACATTTCTTCAAATTTAAAAAGTAAAAATTTCACTACTAACAATTTAAAAATGTTCTTAAAACTTGCAAAGAAATTTGGAAAAGAAATATCACTGTTTTTGTTTTTAGGAGTAGGGTGGGAGTGTCATTGATAAAATTAGAGCGAGAGAAAGTTTTTCTTACAAAACCTTTCATTATTGAATCATGATCAAAACTCAAACTCACACACACATTCTCATTTTCAATCTCAAACAACAACAATTGTGAACAATTTAATTTTTTTATTTTCAATTTTATATGATTTTAAAATGTTGGCAAACGTCAGAAAAAAAATTATGGCCGACGAAATGAGAGAATGAATTTACCTTGTAATGTTTTTATCATGGTAGCGACGATATGTAATTTGTTCATTGAACAAATGAGTGCAAAATGAAAAAAAAGTATCCTTGCCAAGATTTTTTCAGCCAGCCCACTCGCGAAATATTTACTAGTACGTTAAATTTCTACAAAATATGCCCTATTCGGTTCTTTTACTAATGGAAATTGATTTTTTTCGTAACGGATATGTAAAGGCTGGTTTTAAAATTGCGAGCAGAGAAGTGGCGAATCGATGACGGGTTATGTCATATTTTACCGAATAATGTGTCGTCATATTTTGACAAAATTTTCTCCTCTATCCATACATTTACCAATGATAAATCAATCGATAGACCGTTTTTTAGTCCCATTTGATAATTGTTTTCACTTACTGTTTTGGCGACAAATGCCATTGAAATTGACATAATGGCTGCATTTCTTTATTCATTCTGAACGTTTGGAATAAACTTTTTTGTTTACTTATTCTTTAGAACGTTCCTGATGATATGTTAACGTATATTTCAAAGGCATTCTGTTTATTCCGGCTGTGAAATGGGATTATCCGGAATGTATAAAGAAACGCAGCCAATGAAAACTAACCTTAATATTATGTGGATTAAAATGACAATGTTTGTAGTTAGTTACCGCGTTGTGATGGTGAACTGAAAATATTTGAGCTATTCTCGGCGAATTTCTATTCGATTAAAATAATACGAAGTCCTTGAGCCTTTAGATTGCGGCAACTCAAAAATTGTATGCAGTTGAATGATACACAAAATATTCGGTTAATCCATGTGAAATCGACCAATGTTCAACCGAACATTTTTGATGTGGATGAATTCTGATCAAAGCAATTCCTTTATCATATAACAAAGTTCTGCCAAAGTTTAAAAAAAAAAAATAGTTGTTTTCCAAAGTTATGCAAAATTCTAGATACATATCATAACTTCCGGGATTTCGCAAATTTTTTTTGACTATCTCGAAACCTCAAACAAAAAAATGGTTCTAGTTTCGTTTTAAAGGTGTTATTTAGGGCTATAAAGAAATATATATACAAAAAAATGGAAAAGTAAAAAAAAAGGAATTTCGAATAAAAGAAACGGTAAAAGTAAAACCTTTTTTTGTTGGAACTTAAATTTCTTTTTGCCAACTAAATAAAGTTATGTTAAACATTTTCTATTTAATAAAATGAAATGATATTTAAATATTTTTTTTTATTTAGATTTCGCAATATTTTTTTTGCAAACTAAATAAAGTTACCATATTTTGTGTGTTTTTTATGTGTTACATCAGACTTCTTTTTTCTAGACTTCAGCAGGGATCGACCGCTCAGCTTAAGTTTTATTGTTTTTTTTTTCCATTTTTCGTAACAAACAAATCGTGGTACAAAGCTCAATAAGACTATTGAAATAAATATTAATTAACACGCCACAATAAAAATTTACAAAAAAATAAAGTTATGTTAAACAACTTTTATTTAATAAAATTAATATTTTTTTATTTTAAATCTTGCAATAGTTTTTTTACATTTTTTTTTTTATTTTTGGATTTTTGGAGTTTTGTAGCTTTAAGAGTTTGTGAGATATTCAAAAAATAATGTGTAAGATCTGGGAAATTGTGAAATTAACTTTAGATTTTTTTTGTTAATTTTTTTCCTTTAGCAGAGCTTCGTTAACACATAATTATTAAATGAATTAATTTGAATGATGAAACCCAATATGAAAATAATAGTAAATATCTATATCTATATACATATCTTCGCTTTTACACACATTGAGAAATTCTGAATTTTTAACTAACTAAAAAATTGTAGTGCAAATACTATACATATGTATAGTACAAAGCATATGTGAAAAATGGAAAGCAAATTTAAACTAAAAACGAAATTAAAATTAACATATTTTACCTATAATGATATTGAAAAGCGCATTACCTCTTTCAA